CCGCCATGGCCTGCCCGGCCTTGCTCCCCTCACGCCCTCCTTCCCTCCCCGCAGACCATGCGGTGGCCCGGGCTGTTCGGGCGGCTGAAGGCGGCGGTCATCGGGATGGTGCACGTGGGAGCGCTGCCAGGTAAACGGCGGGCGGGCACAYGGCCGGAGGGACCCCGGCCCGGGCCAGGACCAGGACTGGGTCGCCGGTGTCACCTCTGAGCCCGATTCCGACCCCCTTGTAAGCCTGTCCCTTCACCGCAACCACGGGCCCCTCATGAAGCGCCATAATACTGGGCCCTCCCCGTTTTTGAGGTAAAAAAGGTGGGAGACAGCTCTGCACAGGGAACTAGGCTGAGAAAACAAAGGTTTGTGTTTGGTGAGCTCTCTGTTTCAAGRAGCAATGGGTCGGGATTTGCACAGATGGGTGTTGGGATATGATGSGGGTTGRRTAGAGCTCTCTCATGCYTKCGGARGCACTGGAAGCTCASACAACAGGCAGGATGTGTTCCAGCYTGGCCCACCTTCCCAGGGGCTCAGGAGAGCAGAGCTGATGATGGCAGCCTGTGACCTCCCTCTGCCAGGCTGATGGCCAGAGCTCAGCCTGCCCACCCAGAAGCAGCCCCCAGGCAGTGTGGCCAGCTCTGCCCGTGCTCTGAAACCAGGCCGGCCAACAAAGTGACACAGGGCTCAACACAGGATCCATTTCAGACTCCCACTGCCGGATCTTAGGAGCACAAACATCAGCAAAGACTTTGCTCTTACGGGAAAATCATTGAACTCCAACAAAATCCATATGTGTGTATTTCTGCCATGAAGAGCATGGCAGAAATCATGCAACCTTGCACATTAAGGATAGCTTTAACCTGTTTTAAACTCACTGGTGTTTAGCTCAGGTATTCTGTGCTGACCTAGAGGTCAGTCTTGCCCACAGGTTGTATTGTCTGGAGCATCACTAATGCAGGATAAATTACAATGAATGCATGAATAGCAAGCTAAGGGAAGACCTAGTGCAACAGGAGATTATAGCAGGCATTCTTCAAATTTGGGAATTAGGTGTAGGAGCTGAATGGTTACAGCAGCTCTGCAAACTCAGCTAAGGAAAGAGATGTCACTAAGATATGTCACAAGGAGACAGGGCAGCCTTTGAGGAAGTTTCTCCTGTGTGTCCCTGTTTCGGTGTGCCAATCCCCTTGGATGTCCTACCCAAAGCTGTTTCTGTCCATGGTTTTGGTTTGTGCATGTGCTGGTTACGTAAGCAGCATTATTCTTGCAGGGACACCAAGAAGTTCTCTTCCACTGGCCCAGATCATTGATCAAGCTTGTCAAGAGGCAGAAGTTTACAGAGATGCTGGAGTTGTAAGTTTTGGTTTCCTTCTTCCTAATTTAAACAGAGTCTATAATTCATCAAAAGCATCTTAAGCCACACCCTTTAGGGAGATGTTTAAATCCACATCTTTTATGTCAGCATAGCAAGTAAGCCTTCTAGATTACAAATAAACCTATAAGTATCACTTGCACCCCAAACAGTTGAAGAAGCTTAGATTCAAATTGTGCAGTTCATTTTAAGTTGGATGAGTCAAGTCAATTTAAGGGGTTAAAAATAAAAAGAAAGTGGCCTGAAACATGGACTGTTGCTGGCATTCAAGGTCTCTGGCTGTAGAATGCTTCATCAATCCAGTCTGACAAGCAACGGTATTTTTAGCTCTGTACAAGATTCTGGTTTCCTGAGGTCGTGGAGGGATGCCATGTGCACAGCTGATACTCTGCATGCACACCTCAGGAACCTGGAGGGTGCAGGATCACCCCACAGCTGTGTTTGTARCAAAACAGCACAGATAATTCAGGATTTAAAAAAAAAAAAAAGGCTTAGGCCCTTTTGTGCCCTCTCTGAGTCTTCTCTCCAGGCCCCTGGCAGCAAAGTTGCCTGCTTTGCACGTCCAGGAGAGCAGGCCCAAAAGGCCAGTCTCAGCCAGAGGCAAGAAGAGACTGCTGACRGAATTGCTGTTGGACCTGAAGTGGAGTAGTAATCTTCATAGGTCAGTAGATTTTAACAGGGTGTGTGTCCTTTTGAAAGGTCAGATATGTTTTAAACATTTCATTACACCTTGTCTTGGGGTTTTGATGTGCTTTTTCTTTGACCTGCCCACAGTATTATGAACATTTTCTGGTGGTGTACTAATGTCCAAGGTGTGAAAATGTCTTCAGTGAAYAAGCAGTCACTGCTCTGAGTTGCTGTTTTCAGAAAAACTTCATAAACAGGCCAGTTGRAACATTTTTAATCTATAAATTAGAATGGTGCTTTACAGACAGAACAAATAGACTACATGAGTGTAGTTTAAAGAATAGCAAGGTCAAAATGCAAGACACTTCACACAAGGTAGGTTATGGACAGAGCACTAGTAGGGTTAAATTAAGAAAAAATGCTGAGAATAGAATCATTGAAGAAATAAACAGCACTGTGGTAAAATGATGTTAGCCTGGTGGGCTGTGGTGCCTGTGACCCAGATGAACACGTATGATGTCCACCCAGCTGGAATAGTCTCTAACTGCAAGTTGAACAGAACATGGAAGTTTTCTTCCTTTTCATGCCTGTTGAAGGAGGCATGTTCTGTCTCTGTGTTCTGTCCTGTGCCYTTATATTCTGTTGTTGCAGTATCACTGTGAGGTGTAATGTGGTTCCATGTACATCAGAACAGCAGCAAATACTAATCTGTCTATTCCTGTGTTAAAGGAAGCACTTTGTACAAGTAATCTCTAACTGATAAAGCCATTGCTGCACATTCCAGRGCCWGTTTGCCCATTTCCTTACATGATGATTGCACATTGAAGCCTTCAGCAGCAGGAGGAAGACACCAGATATTCCTGAAGTTAGGGAAGGTAGAAGCAGTTACTTTCACTGCTTGCACACACAAAGCTGGAGCAGCTTTAAGGCAAGCTTTAAAATCACTACTAACACAGTTATAAGTTCCAAGTCTAACTGTTTTACCTTTCCTGCAACTGCATTGCAGTCTCTGAACTTGAATATACCTTTAAACCTACCTGTCAGGTAGATGAGGTGAAGGCAGTCATTTCTTTACACATTTGGACAAATTCAGGGCWTATAGTTACAATTAGTCTATTTTCCTGTAGAAGTCACAATATCAATGTGCTTCCATACCAGTCTTCATTCTAACGAACTGTACAGAGCAGTGTAGCGGCAATGTATCAAGCAAATCCTGTGTTAAGGCCATAAGTCTCAGAAATAATCAGGAGAGCCTCTGTAAATATCAAAAGGGTTGCCTAACACTTTCTGCAATTCAATTCTTCAAGGTTTTTTTTGTGGTACTTTAAGAGAAATGCAAGTTTTCATGATAGATGCTTCAGAAGCTTCCCAGCTTTTGCACAGGGATGACCACTGCCAAATTATGCAGCTTCTGTAATGGGAATATATTTGGGTTTCTTGCTCAGTATTCCAAAGGAACTGTTAAGCTGTCCGTTTTTCTTGTTGAAGAAGAGCTAGAAAACGTTTTTTTCTCATGGATGTTTGTACTGACAGTGTTTCCAAATGCTGCCTACACTAGCCTTTGAGTAGATATGTAACCATTTGCTGCTATGAAGATGTTTACATATTGTCTCAAATTGCTTGAATTGGTGTTAACATTYAAAAATAAAGTATATGGTCTTGCTCACTCCATATGTGTTGCACTTGGAAGTAAATCCTGGTATATTCAGAGTAAGGTGACTTGTCTGGCACATTCGCAGCTTCACATAATAAATATGAAAGATTTGTGATATTAGAGCACAGTAATGAAAACAAGTGAGTGCTCAGTTAGGAAGCCATCTGTGCTCAAAATGTATATGCTTTGTACTTGTGTGTTGCTAAACAATGAAATTCCCTAGACAAGATTTTATAAGCAGCAGGCTATGAGGCGTTATAATCCCTCCAATTTGTGCCTGCTTTTCTTTAAGAAAGAGGCAAAATATATATTCAGGTTAACTTTTATTCATTCCATTCAGTCTGGCTGACATTTGTTTTGTAGCTGGGAAATAGAGCACAAGTTCCCATTTGACTGTTAGTTACTGTTCCTMACTGTAGCTGCTGGTGTAGCTGACATTAAAAATAGTTGCTGGTATATATTTTACATTGATGTTTTAAAAAACAAGAGTTTGAAGCTTATTACTCTTATAACTGCAGTGATAACTAGGATACATAATGCTTAGAATTTAATAACAGGGGAGATAGAATAAAGTAGTATTTCTGCACAGAAACATGTATGTAGCTTTCACTTGGATTACAGAGGTTAACATTTCAACTTTCAGCTGTATTACAGAGAATAAAATAGCAGACAGACCTGCCCACAGCTCCCTGCTGTGGTATGTGCAGGAGAACAGGAGATAGCAGCTTACTCTRGTAAGGCAGTGCTCTCCTGCTCTGCAGGTGAGTTTTTTGAAGAGTTGCTTACACTCAGTGATTAAATGCTGTGTAAAGGCTCCCGATTTCCTTTATAAGGGGCATCTGAAGGGAGTGGGGGATTGCTGTAATTGGCTTGGTACACACCTGACCTGTGTAATAATGGAGATGGTGGAACCCCTGCTTCCATTCTGGAGGAAGGAATGGAGGTGATGAGCTTGCACAGCTTTGTACTGAGTGCATGTGTTTGCAGATAAAGCCTTTCTGTTGGGAGAAACAGTAAGGTTAAAGATGTGCTGGGAAAAYGTTATGTTAGGTATATGGTGAGTCAAAACTTACACAATTGTTACATTAGTTGTGGTTTATAGTGTTGTTACTATTTTTGAGGCTTTTCTGCTGTGATGTGTGTGTAGCTGAAGTGCTTTAAGAGGTCATTTCTGTAAGTGGAGTAAAGCTAAGGAAATTATTTTTCTATATAGTTAGAGAGCTATTTAAGTGACCTATTTTTCAGTAGCTAGCTGTGATACAAAGGGCACTTCACATGTGTAGCACTTGAGAAGTCATTCAAAGTGAAAAGGAAATATATTGTTTGAAAATTACTTATAATAAGGCTATTACATATAAGCAACACTTAAATTACCATAATATTCAATGGAAAAGGAGCACAGAAGGTATTTGCAAGAGTTTAATCTCATACTATCTAAACAAATTCTACTTTGGAAGATATAATGCCGAAGCTGTTTCCATAGACTTCCAAACTATAAGCTTAAGTTCCAATCAGTTTAATTTAGCATAACTGTTTTCTTTCTCCCATTTTAATTAGCTGTCTGATAGTACTGAAGTTTGTTTCATATACATATCAATTCAGTAAACACAGAAATCTGTGGTGTTACATTTTTATATAAAATATGAAGGGAAGCTTTGACTTAATGCATCTGTAATTCAGCTTTCTGTATTGCAGAACATATGTCGTTCTTTTTTTTAATTAAACAAAGCATAACAAAGCAAAAGAACAGTAGGATGGTACCAAAAGAATAACGCACTATTAAAGTTCTACCAAAAATATTCACTGTAACTGTGGACCTTGAGGCCATAGGAAGAGACAGTTGCTGAAAAGTGAATATRGTAAATTTAAAGCAGGAGAGAGAAATGTTGCAGTGATCCCATATGCCTGCATTTTGAGCTGAAATTGAATCAGACACTCTTTATGCATAGMACTATGGCTAGGGGTTTTTATAATTTATTAAATGAATTAATTCATTAATGTATCTAATAGAATAATTTACTTTATGCAAATTCTGAACTGTCAGAGCCGTAGCAAGTTGTGAAAAGCTCCGTTTCACTGCAGAATTTCTGTGGAATTCTGCCAGCCCATTTTCTTGCTCTTTGGGCTACTAGCATTGTTTTTTTTAGGGGGCTGAGCATCTGAATCCCCATTCCCAATTGCCTTTCTTCCTGTTGAGGCTGATTCTTGACTGCATGGAAGCCTGGGGATTTGGTTTTGCAGATCCTAGTTCCTGTTCTTATGATAAATTCAGAGTTTCCCYGATACCCACATTTTGGTGAAATCTGCCAAGTAAAGCATTTCTGAGCCAAGGCCTTCCAGGTTTTTTAGTCTCAAGGATGGTACCTGATTTTGGTGGTTCATTGCATTTTTTGGAATTTGTTTTGTTAAAGTATTACTGTTCTACATTAATCCTTTTGCCACATGCACCTTCTGACCAACTYTGTATTCTTGCTTAGACTGACCTAATATTTAGGTCAATATATCACCCATCACAGGTACAGAAGTGTGGATGTTACATGCTGAAGTTGACACAGCAACAAACTCAAGCACATAGGTTTTGGGTGGTTGTCATACCTGGTTTTCCCACATAAGTTTTGGGTGGTTGTCATACCTGGTTTTCCTGGACTGGAATTAAGTAATGAAATGTGTTGGTGAATGGCACCAACCACATAGTGCAGAGGTCTGATGTGGAGTGTCATCATATCAGGTCACCCTTTCCATTTACAACTTGTGTGCCTTTGGTTTTTAGGTAGCATGTGTTTTGTGTATTTAAATATTCTACTGTAAGTAATTTGGGAAAGGCAGCTGCGCCCTGTGCATTGAATGTTTGTCAGTTGTGTGCTTGGAGTGACCATGTTGTTCCTCTGGATTATTTCTTTCTCACTTTTCCTCATCCTGTGTGTTGGGTGTTCATTTATGATCCCCGTGGCTTAGCCTGTAATTCAGCCATTAAATGCTGACTGCATTTTATATCTTATCTTTTAYTGCCAGAAGGGCTTCCACACTACACCAAAGATTAGAGAAGTGTTACATATAAAAGATTTTTAAAAAGGAAACTTTTTYTTTTGTTTCCCCTTCCTGATTCTCTGTGTTATTAATGACCAAGCTGCTGTGTTTAATATCTAGTTGTATTTTTTCCCAGAAAATGTTCCTTCTCTTCTTGTTCGGTTACAATATCTGTGAAAGGTAAAGCTCTCTTTTTAAAGGATTAAGATGTGTGATAAAACTCCAGAGAGAGCAGAATTTACTTGCTATATATACAATTAGTTTGTCTATTAAAACTTTTTGCATTTTTAGAATTAAGCTGGTGAGAAATATCTGGTTTCTTTTCATCTTCTCACTGCAAATGCAAAATATCAGGCATGGAATATATTTCAAGGCTGTACTTTTACTCTTGTTATTAATCCTTGACAAAATTATATATTATCTGCTAGTTTTGGAAACTTTTTGGTATATTGTGTRTAATGATTGGGAAAGTACATGGTATCAGGTAATGTACAAATTGTATCAGCAGAGTATTTTATCATTGCTTCATTGTTTGCTAGGAGCACATCCATGGATGGATGGAGAGGTGGAATAGATAATTAATAGCAATGTCTTGTTTCCAGTAATTCTGAATATGGAATGGGAGAAATATCAATAGTTAATATTATGGCATTTGGCACAATAATAGTCAAACAAAAATTCCTTTATTTATCCAAAACAACACTTATTTTGACATTAATTGAATTGAAAATTGCCCTGGTTATCCCRGAGTCCTCTGTTATCCAAACATACTCAATATCCTGTATTCCCCTTGGATAATTGAAGTTTGACTTTACACTATTTTTAATGAGGTATAAGATTTAACTCATTTGCCTATAGTTCACATTTCAGGATGGATCAAAGGAACCCAAATTGATGAATGTATAATTAAAATCACATTTATTTCTCTTCATGATTTCCCTGCAAATACCATGCTGTTGATGAAAGCACTTTCATAAGTGGTTGTGTGCATCAAATGCAACACAACTCGCTGTAGATAATCCTTCCTTTGAAGGAAAACCTTTACACTTGAGTGTCTTTATACACAATAATGGTAAACTCACCATGTTTTTGAGCTCCCTTCTGTAGAGTGCAATGAGATTTGTTTSTGATTGTTTCCCCAGGATGCCTTGCTGGTGGAGAACATGCACGACGTGCCGTACACGGTGTGCCCGGGGCCGGAGGTGACCGYGGCCATGGCAGTGGTCAGTGCTGCCGTGAGACAGAGCTGTCCCCGTGTCCCGCTGGGGGTGCAGGTGCTGTGTGCTGCAAACCAGCAGGCAATAGCCATTGCTCTGGCTGCAGGTAATGGACAGGGCTGCTCAGTTATTCCTGCTCTGCTGTGCCCTTTGCTCTCTGCAAACTGCACCTTGTGCTGGCATGGATACCGTGCAAAACGGGACGGGAAAAGCTTACCCTGAAAAAGCAGCAGTTAGATTTTGGGAAAGCTCCCTGCTTGATTAGAGTAGATGGGACTTGTGCAGTGCTTCAGTTAGAGCTGCTGAGAATCCCAAGGCTGCTGCCACAGCTGTCGAAGTGAAACCTGTCTAAATATGATTTAAATCTACTCATGTCTAAGAGCCACCTTTGGTGTAACTCTTATTTACTTCAGTTGTATGTGAGGATCAATTTAACCCAYGATGGTTAAACATCCTGTCTCAGCATCCAATTATAAATTGTTGCTCCTACTGTTATCCATTAAAACTAAGTTTTCATTGTCTTTTTTTAATGAATGGGTAGAATGAAGCTTTTTATATAATGACAAAAATTGAGTGTACAGATAGCCAAAGTACTTAAAATTAAATTGCATTTGGGGGAATTAAATATAAATTAATCTATCTTTATTGCATGAATCTTAGACTTGCTAAGCTTCCTGCTCCTTCTGTTTGTTGAAGCAATTTTAACTTTTCGTATGTAATCCTCCRTGATGTAAAGATGAAGGTGGGTTTAATATGGAAAGCCTGTACTTCCTAAATTCATAAATTGAGGGTTGATGCTTGTTKTTGCCCAAACTGACTGTCATTGTGAGAAGGCTGCACATTTTTGAATGTACAGATTTTATAGAACCAGGCAGAAGATGCTGGTTTTAACTGGAAGCCACACTTCAAGTAAAATCATGTAGGTTAACCTACCTGCAGTGGCAGTTTTAATTGTGCTGAATATGTTCTAAAAGTTTTAAATTCTTGTTAAAATGAGTTTTCAACTGAGATTTGTTTTGTGAGCTTTAAAAGCAGATGCTGCCATTTTCAAAGTATCTAGCCTCTTGACAAACTGACAAAACTWAATTTTTATCACTTCATCGGAACCTATATGAAAACCTCAAATAAAAATGGTAACAGAATCCAGTTTTACTTTTAAGAGTTTGCTGTATGTGGGACACTTGAGGTACATAGGTGTTTGGAGAAATAGTACCCACCCTGTTTTTAAAACAGTCCTTTGAGGAGCAAAAATCATCACTAAATAAGGGATATAGTCTGGGAGCAGTGCATTTCTCTTCTTTGCAATTATTAATGAAGGGGAGAATTCCTGGAGGGCTTGGGTTTTGCTCAGCTCTACTTCTGTTCTGCACTATTTCCTCTGTAACTGGAGAACACCAGCCAGGAAGGGCCTGTGTTTAATGCATTTCATTGCACTTGTCTAAAAATGATTGTCTCAAGTTCACTGAACAGGAAAGCAAAAAGAAAATCACTTTTAAGCAAACCAATAGTAAAGTGGGTACGACTTTGTTGGTAGCAAATCTTTGAATAGTTTTTCTRTAGCAACTTAGTAGTGACTTTAATGTCAATACAATTTTAATAGGTGGTTATTAATAAAGCAAGTCCTATATGCTTTCACTACAAAAATAACTGAATGTGTTTTAGCTAAAAACCATATATAGCATCTTCTGCCTACAATGCAGTCATTTCATTTTCCCTGTGGAAATCCATGTCTTTGGTAGGAATAACTGTTCTGAAGAGAACCACACAGGGAATTTATAGGAGGTCTCTAGGAGAACTTAATGATTTTATTTTGTAAAGGGTGGGTGGAATCAGCAGGTCTGCAGTATGACTAGGAGCTCAGCTAGCCCTAGCAAGGACTGTAGGCTCCTGTGCCTGGATGAGCCTGGGTCACTCATCATTGATCAGGGCTCAGTTTTTATCTTCTCTCATCTCATAAATTTAGAACAAGATGGKTCAGTTGGAAGGGACTTTAAAKAGTCATCTAGCCCAACTGCATCTCCACCTGAAGCTGCCCATTCTCCTTAAAGAATTTAATTACTGAAATTCCAGTTGTGARTTAGTCTTCGTTGATGATGATGACACAATTGATAGCTGATAAATGAGGCTTCATATCAGGACATATCCAGGTATCTCCTTGTCTTTTGTAAATACAGCTTTGCTGTCTGAGTCCATTCCTTTCCCTCTCCCACCAGCAGAGTGGGAATTCATTTGCTATCATCCATGGTGCTGTTTAGGGTAAGACAAAATCAGAGAGAATTGTGTGCTGTGGTTTTTGCTGTCCTTTTTAACTGCCACCATATTGATGCAGTGGTGAGGGGAGGCAGCTCAGCTGAGAGCTGCACCCCCATGTGCTGTGATCCTACTGGGAATGCTGCTGCAGACCCTTCTGCTGGGCTTGCAGTCCATGCTGAGCATGAATGAGTGCTGCATGACAGTGTCCTGACAAGTATTTTTGCAGCACTGAGCCTCGAGTGTCAACAGCAGAAGAAGTCAATGCTCCTCTGAAAGTTTTGGTTTTTAGTTTTCATTGGAAATTCCCTGTTCTTGTTTTCCAGTGAGAYTGCAAAATGTGTTGTTCCCATGTAAGTGAGAAATGGCACTGCCTATTAACTATTTAATGGCTATTACTTTTCAACTTGCCAAATGTGAAAATAAGCAGTAGTATCATTTTCACAATTTTATGAGCATAAAAATGAATTCATTAGCAGAATCTGATTATGGCTTCATAAAACAGAAGGGTAATGATACGGTGCCTGCAMCTATTACACTTGGTTAAAATTTGTATTTTTGTAGCCTCCAAAAACCCAGATGAAGAGTGCAGCCTTGTTAAGCTAAGTACAATCCTAATGTTTAGCAGAAAGTCTTACATTACTGAAATAAGGAAACACAAACCAAGCATCAACAAGCAACATGTAAGCAGTGACTTCAATAAATTCTCCAATGAATAGCCCTTGTCCTGAGTTAAACCCTGATTCCTGAGAAAGTGTATTGTGATTCTAGGCTCATCCATAGTCTTCTGATGAGAGAAATAATTTTTCTTGTTTAACTGTGARTTATTACTCTAAGCTTGGATGATTTAAACAGAAGCCACAGCTTTTGTTCCTGGATGTAGAAATCTCAGTCTGGCTGTTTGCAGTGTGTTTATTACCAGTGTCTACAAGCACCTGCAATGGTACTTGTGGCACACTCTTGTCTTTGGATCCTGAGAACACTCCATGCTTTGCACCCGCTAATCTCAAGGCACAGGACAGCTTGCATTTGATTTGGCATCCATCTGTGATGTTTCTTGTTAGCTGAAGTCTGTGTTGCTAAGCAATGCAGGCTCTTCTCTATCAGGCGTAAGCTTCTGTTTCTGCAACTTCAGGGCTTTTGGAATGAAACTGAAATTTTAAAATAAACAGACACCTTGTCATTTGGTAAATAAATTTTCAAGATCATTTATGTTTATAGTTGGAATGTGCTAAGGTGATGCCTCTGTTGCCTAATCAGTTCTCTGGTGGGTGGGATTGCATTCTTGATGACTGTTTCCACATGCATCGCTTTCTTTTGTATGATGTCAGCTCTAATTAAATGTGCATCTGACTCCAAAGCTGGAGCAGTAGCAGAGCTTCAGAAGGGCTTGGAAGGCACCTCCAAAGCAAACTGGAAGAACAGCAGAACTGCACAAGACGAGTGCAGAGCTTTTATGCAGATGTGTAAAAGAGGCAGGTTTTAAGTGACAGGTTCAAGGCTAGGAAAGGCAGGAGAGCTGTGAGAAATGCAATAAGGGAGTCAGAATTCCATCTTGTGCCTCACAGCTGTGGGCTCATTGCACTGTGGTCCAAGCCTTCAGTTTACAACAGATCTTTCAAGGCTGTGGAGGGGGTCCCTCAATGTCAATGAATGTGAAGTGATTACARTTCATAACCTTCCACTTCAGTATCCATCCCACAAAACCTTCCTAGCATGAAAACTTCATGGATCTGGTGGAACCCATGTTACTAAGACATGGCAGAATTGATGGCTGGAGTAAGTTTGGAGTAGAGTGGGAAATGTTTGGTGCTTTCAAAACTTTGGCACAGCTCTARAAGCAATTTGTTCATGTGCTGCTGTGTGGCAAACACCCACTACATCCAGAAAGAGTCCYGTGGGTTGCATGTAACAGGTTTCAGGCTGTGTTTTCTTTCCTAGTTTCCTAAAGGAAAATGACAATGCTGTTCCTCTGTGTTCGTAGCCTTGATGCTTTTGACCTGATGGCCAACTTTAGGCAWATTTAACAGGGGAATAGATGTTGGAAAAGCAGTAATACAATGAAAGAGTTTATGGAAAGAGGGTAGAGATGCCAGTTAATGACCCTTTTTGGAGAGAAGACACATCATTAGGGTAAAGGAGCTGTGTTTTGACCCACCTGCTCCTCTGTTTGGCACATCCTGGCAGGAGGGAGGGCAGGCTGTTCAGCTGCCTGTTCTGAGCCACACAGGTACAAACTTTAATGGCTGAGAGAGAGAAGAGAACCAGGGGGAAAACTGGTGGGGCCACTGGGAGAGGTGGGAGCTGAAAGCAGTGAGATGGAAAGAGGCCAGAGAGAATARGGGTGGAAAATAAAAAATGTAAAACTTGTAAATATGGAAAAGTGAGATTGATTAGTCCTAGAGCATGTGAAACAATTTGTGTAGGGATCAAATAGGAAGGGCAGTAAGGTGGATTTTTATTTCGTTTTAGTGTTTTTTATTTTCCAGTTCTCAGATTTAGCTAAAACATTGCCTTTTTTTTTTTTTTCCAGTTCTCAGATTTAGCTAAAACATTGCCTTTTTTTTTTTTTTTCAGGACTTGATTTTATCCGGGCTGAAGGGTTTGTGTTTTCTCATGTGGCTGATGAAGGAATCATAAATGCCTGTGCAGGTGACCTGCTACGATACAGAAAACACATTGGAGCGGAGCACATTCAGATTTTTGCTGATATTAAAAAGAAACATAGGTAAATACAAGCAAAATTTTATGTAAATGTGAACGTAATCATGATCTTATATTGTTCTCCATTTTCTGATTTTGTTTTGTGCTCATTTTCTTTCACGGTGGTTTATCATACAGGAGGAAGTTTTGTCTTGCAGTGATATTAGGGGATACATTTAAAAATAAATTTGCACTTGTAAGTTACAGGTTGCTATGTCTGTGAAGTTTATAGTTGTTTAACCTTCAGGTTTTAAAAATGTCAACTATGAAAGCGTTGCATCTGCTATTGAGACTTTATATACATGTGCATATGTCTATTATGTTTAAAGTTTTGTTTCTGAAAGTTAGTCATCCAAGGTTATTTTTTAGTTATGTARGGAGTTGCCATATAAAAACATCTAAATGATAATATTTTGGCATTTTAAAAAGCTATGCTCTTTCTTCTCCTTCCTGCCAATAATACTGATTTCTGCTGCTTAAATCAGTGCTGTCTATGTGAGGGTTATGTTCTATGATTATCAAACAGAAGGAACTTATGACAGATGAATCCAGTTTCTTTTCTGCTGATACTTTATCTTACCTGTCACATGGTACTTTCAGCTATTTACATGTCACTCTCTGGGTTTGTTTTTTTCCCCAGAAGAACTGCTCAAGTGCTATGTATTATACATGCTAAATRACCTAATTAAAATGTTTGTGTGTAGTATGTGAGCAATCATGAGAATAATCAAGTTGGGAAGATCTTAAATATCTAATAAGCAGGTAGTAAATTTCAAAAGAGARAGGAAACAATGCAGTGTGGTCAGATGAAGCTTTTCAGGTCCTTCCAAAGCAGTTTCTTTCAGATGATTTTTTTATGTGTATATATAAATATATACRTAARAATATGTATGTATATAAATGAAAAKACATTGCATTAGACTTTCTGCAAAAAGAAATCGATTGCATCAGGTCATTTTTTTTCTTAGTCTTGACATCTGATGAATTGATATTTTGATTATACTCCTTATTGTTCAAAGGGTTTGCCTTTTAAGAAAGGAAAAGAGCTTTGTTTTTTTTCAGGCAGAAACATAAGCTCAGAAGGAAATGCTGAAGGACTTATTGGTTGAGCTTTTTAATGTAGAAAAATACACCTGCCACTGAGAGCTGCTATGCTGTTGTTCCTTAAATGAGGAGGAACTGTTCCTGTGCCATCACCACWCAGCAGTGCAACGTGTTGGCCATAGCTGTTGTTTTCTGTTTAAATAGAGAAACAACAGTGTGGGATGTTCAACCAGCAATGGCTGGAATTCTTTCCAGGTTTGGGACCACATAAATTAATAGCTGCTCTTGCTATAGGTTTGAGACAAAGTGTGTCACCCATACATCAAAGCCTGCTGTTGAACAGCTGGGATGCAGGTGTAATTGATGTTTGTAATTGCTGTRTTAGATGATTCCCGTGGTTATATCRTAGGTATTAACTCTACTTTGTGKTAGTTGGACTGGTGGAGGTTGTTGATTCTGTCCTAGGCAACAGGATCTGATTTATGAATGAGGGCACATCCACAGCTCCCACTTGAAGCCAGAGAGCTCTGTGTGCTCAACACTTGTGCAGTACAGGTGCTCGAGATGTAAGCAGCTGTCTCAATTGACACTTGGTGGTTCACACTCAGCACTCGCTCTCTAGAGGCAGCAGACCCTGAGCAGGAAGCAATGGTTCTGCCCTCTGAGGAAAAGGGGTTTTAACTCGTGCTGAGATTGTGATGTTTCCTCCCGCTGTAAGGCAGGATGTGGGGTTCTGGCGGGGAGGATGGGGAGCAGGGTGTGTGTCCCCAGTGTAACAGCTCTGTTCCTGCAGTGCTCACGCCCTGACGGCCGATGTCAGCCTGGCGCAGACAGCGGCCGCTGCCCAGCTGTTCCTGGCTGACGGCGTGGTGCTGACGGGCACGGCCACCGGGCACCCTGCGGACCCCTGCCAGCTGCCAGGTGAGAGCTGACTGCCAGCCTGGCCAGGGGCTGGAACCAACTATGGATTCACTGTTCCTTAGGGGGGCCAAAAAATAAATGGGAAACAGGAGAAACTCGCTGTGATGTTTGATTGATACGGCAGAATTAATACATTTGAGGTGTTACTCACATGGGCTGGGATGTATTTCTGTACAGCAATTTAGCTGGACAAAATGGCAGTTTTTCCAAGCTTTTACAACACTAAATGACGCTTATACTTAAAGAAAATAACATTTCATTTCGAAATAGCCCTAATATAAGAAAAAGCTACTTTATAGTCCTAGAAACATACCTATACTAAAACTAGCCATATTAAACCAAATATTAATCTTTCCATTGAAGAGTTCACCATTTTTATCTTTCACAAACCAAAATTCCTGCAAGAGAAGGGGCATTTTGATAGGGCAGCATTCCAAACATTAATACCAGGGAAAGTACTGCTTGGAAGATTTTCAGAAAAAATGTAAGTTCATTGGTAGAAAGGAAGATACTAACACCAAAATAATTTTTAAATGGTGTGGGCTTCTTACCAATGAGTTCTGACCTTTGTAGAAGTGCTAAGATTCTTGATATTTTTAYATTGCCATAAGTTTGGGCTGTGTTCCTGAAACTGTATAGCTCCCAKGCTAGAATTAAAGTTCTATCAGGGGGACATTTAATTTTCATCACTAATTTTAATTTGGATTAATGGCTTGAATTTGAATGTCTCACTACATAAAACTGAATGTGTATTTTTTTAGGTTTTACTTTACYTGACACACTTTAACATGTTTTTAAGTTCCAGTGCAATGTATTGTATTCTACTTAATTTAGCAGATCAGTGTGAAAAGCAAACTTTACTGGCCATAGATAACCTGGACCTYAAACATYTTTTGAAATAACATTAAATMATTCAGTGTTTTCAGGGCTTTGTGTATATCACASRTGCTTAAGAGCATTTAGAATGAATKTTGAACYTGTCAAAATGGTTATTTCATACATATTACAYTTTTTGCCAAAAATCAGATTATAAATTACTGTGCCTCAGCYACCAATGTTAAAAAGAAAATGATGGTTYGGTGTGAACACTGAGCCTCTTGGTACAGGAAATTAGAAATGATACATGGAACAGGTGATACTGGAAGCTAAGCCTCCTTTACAGACTGCAAAGTTTTGTTAATCTAAAGATGCATCCCTGTCTGTAATTAATAACCCCACTGCTGTTAATGTAGATTAAATGATTTTTAAAAAGGTTTTGTAAGTCTTTGGGCAGAATTCTAGGTTAAATTCTGCTTTCACAAGTGCACATTCAACTTCCATTGATTTCCTGCATCAGAGAGCAAAATCTGACCTGTAGGCCCAAAGGTTTTTTTTGTTACAGGACCCCAACCAGACAGAACCATAGCTTCTGCTTTTCTTTCATGTGAACAAACATGTCAGTCTCTGTCTCCTTCTCTTTCTGGGTCCAAAGAACAAAATGAATCAGAGCTGGCAGCTGTAATGAAGTACACATTAATTCTGTGTTTGGATTTGTGTTATGAAAGCAAGAGTGTGCAGATCATGGGTTTATTGTACTTAGATCACAGCATTCTGGATGTTAGCAGGCCCTCTCATGAGAAAGATGTCTTAAAACAGTTAAGAGAAGAACTTAAAAATCAATATTCCACGGTATAAGGAAATGACAAATTAGGCATATCTATGTCAGGAGATTCTTTAAAGGGATCAGATCTACAGTCTACAAAGTTGGTGTTGATGTGAATGAGATTTTGCATTTCAGGAATTTATGCAGCCCTGGCAGAGCCGTATTACGGTGATACAATTGGGCACCTTTCATCACACTGCAAAGCAGCTCTTGAAAGCAGAGCTGGGAGACAGATGAGATTTTTGTCATGTCTCTTTTTCGGCTTTGTTGTGCAGTAATATAGAAGTGGTTTTGCCTTTGTGTCTTTGTGTAGAATTGATTGATTTGTGATGGGCTGTGGGAAGTGTTTCCTTGTSAAGGCAGAGATCTGTGTTCAGTCAGGTTTTGTTTGCAGTTTGTGTYGCTGCCTGCTCTAGGCTGGCAGGTTCTGCTCCAGGGCTGCCTGGGCACTCTGGGGCACCAGAGGTCGATGGAGTACAAGATCTGAAAAATCAGGCTTCATGTTGTTAAGAAGCAAGTATTATAGCTGAGCATTTTGAATTGCAGTTCATTAATAAACCATCTTTTCATTTAAGAGGTTACAGAAGTTCCCGTTTGCTGCCTTGTGGAATGTTCTTTGGTTGGRTGTGTGAACCCATCAGGCTTTTTCTTTGGCTATAACTGCTGAAATACCTGCTTTGMATTCAGTTTGTGTTTTGAGTGACCAAAGCTTTGTGTAATGACTGCTCAGTTATCTTTTTGAACAAAACAAGTGTCTCAGCTGAGTAACCAGTGGAAAACAGGTACATAATGAAATCCAACAGCTGGCTGTGACTGTCACCTCCTTAATTACTGTTCATAAAAGGGCCTCAAAACTGACTCACCCTCTCATCTTTTGATGGCCAAAGTAGAGGCTGCTCCTTTACCCTCAGAGACAGAAAAACTACTGATCTACTCACATCTCCTGCTTAAGCCCTAAATTTAATGACAGAGAAAAAGTCCTTTGAATTAAAAACCTAAAATGTGTTAGATTGGAGCATTACCATAAACATAGTGTTGTGTACGGTACAGTGAGCACTGCAATGAAAAAGCTGTTAAAGAAGAGTAGTCGAGCAAGTTATTGGCACACTGGCGCTTATTTTTACATCGCTCTTCGCCATTGTTTTCAAGCTAGGAGCACTTGGCCTTTATTTCAGAAACTTGTGCATACCAGASTTGAAATGCTTTCATTGTGCTTTGCAGCCAAGCAGGGTTTCATTGGGTTTTATTAAAGACCTGTGTGCAGCTGTGCTGCCACAAGAAAGAGCACAGTGCCCTCTAGTTACAGCCCACTGCAACAGAGAAATCTGTAAACTTCTGCGTCTTGTTACTGTAACATCATAAAATTGTCTCCTTTTTCTCACTGTGTCAAAAAAAAATCAGAAAAAGAACACCAGGGAAGCTGAGAGATTTGAAGCAAAGCTGTGTGTTTAGAGACATTTTGACAGTGACTGAACATTGCCATACAAAAGCACATCTCACTGCTGTTGCTTTATTTTCTTTTACAGGCTAGAATTTGTATTAGCACAGCCAATAGACAAATCACCTTCTACTAATCAACTTTAGGCCTTGATGTGCTTGGAAAGGACTTAAAAGTAGCATCTGTAGCATACTTAATGAGGTAACACATTTCACTGCACACTGAGCACTCCCTTTGCCATTCTTCACATTGTCATTGTGAATAAATCTCCAGCCCAGGAGATGTGTGTGCACTCCACGTGTCATGTGTGGATCACAGCAGCTCTTGATACCTTCCCACTCTGGAAGGCTTTGGGGTGTTTTGGAGTTTCACTGGGTTTGTCCCTTTGCCTGGCAGGGCTGAGCTGTTGTCCCAGACCCTTGTGAACATGCTTTGTTTAATTATTTGACTCTTCGTTTTTCCTGCTGATGTGAAATAATTATGAAACAACTCCCTGCTAATGTGCTTTACGCACTTGTTGTAAGAACAAATATTGACTTGGAGCCTGATTCCTCTGGGGATTCAGTCAAGTGCTGTCACAGATCTGTGGTCAGATGCACCTTAATCATGCATTGGTATCGATATAAAGCAGATAAGGTGTTCCTAAGAGCATATAGATATTATATAAATAAAATTCTGATTTTTTTTTTTACAACAGGATATCAGTAATAATGCWATAAGTAACTAGAAATTAATTATTTTGTTGCTGTAAGCAGAATGACTATCAAATATGCGTAGAAATAACTAAAGTTTTAATTGTATATGCATGATCCATCTGATTTGTTTTACATTTTCAGGAAGGGCTGTGTTGAATGGTTTTATTTTTGTGTTAAAATCTTTTTAAGAAGGAGTTATTGTTCCTAGATGGARAAATGGGAGAGCATGTGACCTAAAAAGAGATTCAAGAGCATTTTAATTGATCCCCTTTCTTCAGTGAAGTAGGAAGGTGATAAATAATTAGTCTTCCCTGAAGCATAATTAATAAGTTAGGCTTCTGATGAAACTTCATTTAAACAGTGTTTTGAAGCAGACTTTTATTTGTTGCATGTATGCTTTCCCTAGTTACCTCCAGCTATAACCACCTTAGCATCAGCTTATCACTAATTAAGCCAATTTATATGTTTTTAAAGGTCAGAATTAATGGCTCACAACATTCCTCTAAGGGATGAAGCATCCAGTCCTATGAGTCACTCTCAGRATGGTCAGTTTGAAATAAAATGATGAGAAGGATGCTTTAGTAATTCTTGAATTGGGCTTTTTTCTTCTCATTCCAGAGCTAGCACTGACTCGGGTTCTGCAGAAAATATTGTGATAATATTTCATTTATCTGCAGGGAACCCTTCCATGCTCAGGTAGCCGTCTCTTTTTGGGTTTATTCTAAAAAGTGTGAATGCTGGAAACTGAGCCCTAGTTTCTGCACAGTTGGGTCTGTCAGAACACACACATTTCACAGTGTTTCACCTGACCCATGGGCTGAAGTCCGCCCCTGGTGCCCTCTCTGCAGTATTTTGAGCCTTGTTTTTGTCTGTTTCTCCTTTTGAAACCAGGTAAAAGGTCAGATGATTAAGTAACACTGTATATAGGAAAAATAAGTGGCTTTTTTGTTCCATTGTCATCCCTTAGTACTGATAAAGGCCACTTCACTGTCTGGCTTTTGCCTTCTGGAAGAGTAGCTGAGCTGTCAATGGTGCCTGTATGATCCCTKCTCTCTTTCATACAAGAAAATATAGGAAGCATTCCAGACAACAGAATGTGAAAAATGAGGGGTTTTTTTCTGTTCAGAGCTAAAGGTGTTTTTTCTAGAAAACTTGTTTCATTCTGTAGTAGAAATAGTAAATACCATCATCACAAATTTCTCAATACCTTTCTTTCTCTGCTGAAAAACTAGGCATATTAGAGTCTTTATGGGGAGAGTTTCAAAGACAAACTAATCCTAATTTTTGTTTTCTTCTCTTCAGAGGTGAAGCAAGCTGTGAAGATTCCTGTGCTGGTTGGGTCTGGAGTGACTCTGGAGAATGTGAGGGATTACCTGGATGCAGATGCTCTGATAATTGGTTCATATTTCAAGAAAGAAGGATACTGGGCAAATGCTGTTGATCCTGACCGAGTAAAGAAATTCATGGAACACATCAGTAAATTGAGGGAATGAGTTTGTGAGCAAACACTGATGGTTTGTGTGTGTTTGTAGGAACACAGTGTGTTGCATCCTGCAGAATTAAAGCACAAAAGTGTGGCTGAATGGCAAATAACATCACATAAAAATGCACATCATTTCCATGACTAGATGGGAATCATGGTGACACTTTCCAGTGACCTGGTGCCCTGATGTTTGCTTCCAGGCAGCACATTTCTGTGGTGCTCAAAGCTGCCATCAGTGCTAAGCCAAGTGAAATCTCGTGCGAGATACTCTCTCCTGTAGGTAAAACGCTTATGGAGTTTAAGAATTTTTAGAAAATGCTCGTCACAGGTGAGCTGAGTTCCATTTTGCCTTTAAGTACAATAGAATGCCCTRAGTTTACAACTAAAAGTGTTGTAAATTGGACAAGTTAATTAGCCTTTCMRTTTCCCCATCTGTAAAATRATGATAATAGCACCTACATCACACWGGGGCTGTAAGACATAATGAATGAAAGAATGTACAGCACTTTCATCTCTCCAAATGAAGGGCTCTTTTAAAGTTCAAGATCATTATTTTTTCATTAGAATTGTGCATTTATACAATTTTTGTAATACCACCCAAAAAGTTAAGATAATTGGGATATTGATTTACTTACAATACTTATTAGAGGATAAATGTAAATATTTAATTACATTTTAAGTAGATTTGGAATGTAGTCAAAATGCTTTTGCAAAAATTGGGAATTTTAATAAAGGTTTATTATTTTTCAGCAAGCACCTGCAGCTTTGTACCTCTCCAGAATAGTAATAGTGATGTAAAAAACTTTCTTGGAACTCACAAGATATAATTACAATAGAACCTTTCCAGCAAAGCCACAGGTAAACACACATTTTTATTTTTCCARTAAAATGTAGAGGGGAAAATTATTACAGTCTCACTGTGTATGTTGTAAGAGTTTCCCCTCAAATTTGATCCTTTAGCTCTAAGGAATCTTAAAAGAACCCAAGGAATACCTGTTAGGTCATGGCTGCATGAAATGTTGGGACTGGGAGTGAAGTTTGTCCTCTGGGATCTCTCTGTTTCCTTGACATGTACACATCACTAATAAAAGTTAAATTGTGGATATCAAAGCAGGAACACAAACATGGTGTTTGTGTCAGCTGGAAGAGCACCCATGCGTCTCTGAACAAAAGATACATCCTCCTTCCAAGGACAAAAAGATTTCCAAGGTATTTAGTTTTGTTAACATAATGGTGATTCCAGAACATCCCRAGATGAGATTGTTCCCAAAGAAACTTGTGCCTGTTGTCAGAAGTCACATTCAGTACTCTGAGCGTGGGAATTTGTGCTACCAGTGTGTTCCTTGAATTGTTTTCTACTTACATCCTAAAAACTCAAAWGTGCCTGAAACTCAAATAGGTTTTCATCTGAGTAAAAGAAGAGATGAGAACTTTGCAGTGCTGTATACAAGGTCTGAAGGCAGTAATGTTGTACACAGCAATTGTGTAAGACAGAAGCCTCCAAGGTGCAATGAATGCTGCAGACAGCAATTWCACAGTCAGGATTTCATTTAACTCACCACCCTGTAGTACTTGTGGAAGGAACAGGCCATAATTTGAGTCTGTGTTCTTATATAAGAAAGGAAGTACAGAATTTAGGGAACAGAGTAAAGGAAAGCTGATTTTCAGGCCTGAAAATGTGACTGATGGCCAGCTCTATCATTCTTTGTGCCAAAAGTATTTGTCTAGCAGCATCAAGCATCTGCTTGCCTGTTTCACACAGATGCTGTAAGTAGAATTTGACCTTTTGTTCAGCGAGTGTTTGAATATTTAACGTGAAAATATTAAGTTATCAGAAAGGCTGACTCTTTTGGGAAGACTGTTCAATTCTTACACAGCCCAAGTTGTTAAAGTACTTTGGAGCATGAACAACTTCAGAGCAGAACAAAGCAGGCACTGCTAATGTGTAGAAACTCCAGAAGTAAATAACAGCTGTTCAAGAAGACTTCTATTAAATATGTATTAATTAACTTGAAGTGCATCACTTAAATATGTGAAGAGATTATCTTGTGTTAATTTACATTAAAACACACAGCACTTGTTAGCCTCATTACACTACCCTAAGTAGATCCTAAGCTATCACCTCATCTTACACGGAGCGTTTTGTTGGGTGTTGATTGCTTTCGATTTGCCCTTTTAAAATGTCAGATAGTGGCCTCCATTTCTTGTTSGATCTCTTCTTTCAGGTTTTGCTCTTGCAAGGTTACTGTTCTTGCCTTGTGTCTGTTCTGGGCTGAGCAGAAAGAAAAATAACAGTAGGTTGTGAAAATGTAACAGTAATTGCCCACCCAGGCTTCACTTGTGGCTCCTGCTGTTGACTTAGGAACAAGCAGAGAGGATGCAAGGGTCCATTTGTGTAGCAAAATGACTTTACAGGGAAATTCAGTATCACCTTTAGAATGGGAAAGATACAGAGTAAAATGGAGTCTCTTTAGTGAGATTCTAGATAAATAAAACTCAGTGGTATTAATAGTGGTCTAAATCAATGTATAAATCTTCATAAACTCTCATGCCATCTATAAAACTGGTATTTTTTTTGTGGACTTAAGTAAAAATTCATCTTTCATTCTATTTCAGTGTTCAAAATATATTAACTTGTAAGATTTTATTTAGTGTAATTTTGGCAACTGATCCAGCTGCTGGGCTCTTCTTTCATCCATTATTTTGACTCCACAGATCCCTGATCACAAGTTGGAGTCCTGTTCTTGTTTCCCACCCCTRTCCTCACTGAGGAATGTGAGAACTCAGAGTCAGGTCCTGGCAGAGCAGGAGGAGCAAATGAAACCAAAATATTTGGCTTTAGCAGAACCTTGAAGTCCAGACAAGCTTCTGCATTGCATGGCTCTCGTGGGAGAGGTGAGTGGGGGTTTTGCTGTAGTTCCAGTCTGTTTGCAGCCTCTTCAGTCAAGGCTTCGTGAGTTTGCACCTAGGTTGTGTTTCCAAGATTGTCTCTGCTGTATTCGTGCTTAGGGAAACATTTTTGCTAAGTGAAAGCTGGCTTTGGAAGGGATTTATGGCAATATGGGAGGTGTTGCCTGCGGAGAAATCCAGGCTTAGAGTTCACAGCTTTTTGGTTCAAGAGCAGATTTAGATGTATGTATCTTCAAAAAGARCCCTTTAAAGGTGACTTAAATTAAACCTTCACTCACTTCCTCACTTAGCCCTGATATCCAGTCAGTGTTTGCTCTGCTGAGGAACCTGAAGTTGAGTTTAGGAGTAGAACTGATTGTGTTTTTTTCTTGTGCATTTGCAGTGGTTATCTCTGTGACCTAAAAGATGGGKTTTTTTTCAGAAAGGGTGGAGAATTGGGCTGAAATGCCATGGTGTGCTGTAGAAAGGACTATCCTTTCAGTGGAGAAGTTTTTCCTTACATTCAACCTGACCTTCCCCTGGTGCAGCCAAACTAAAAGCCCAGGTGGTCTCTTGTGAAATCTTGAGAGTAGTAGATGCTTTTCCACCCTAATCTTTAAAAGCACAAATAATTTATGGTAGAAAAATGTCTTTCTSCAATGCAAACAGAAAGCCTTTCATAGGAGGCAAAAGGGTTCCAACTCACAACATAATCTGTTTCTTTGCTTACAGTTAGAAGCTTTTGAAGAAGTGCTGAGGAGAGCCTAAGATGTTTCTTGTTAAACACTTAAGGATAGGTAAAGACGTGTGAGGGTAATTATCTTGATTAAAAAATTTGATCATCTTATAACTGATAGGTATTTTTCAAGGTGTTAAAAAGAGATTTTGCTGATTTGGGCTGAAACTACTACTTTGTATCTGTGTTTAGCTCCTCTCTTTCCTGTCACTCAAATTTTCATTGTTTTATGAAGTAAATTCAGCGTCAGCCAGCAAATGTTATTGTTTCATAATTTATTTTTAAAAAATATGTCACTCCTTTGRAAATGAGTGATGAATGAATGAATGAGGGACATTTGTGAATGGTACAGAGATGCTATTTGGTATGTGGATTACTGAGTTACTGGGGGTTTTGTATTTTAAAATGCAATTTCTCCCTCTGTCCTGCTACCTATGCAAAGGGAGATGGARTATCCAGTGTAGGGAGTAGGAGCTRCTCAATCARTGGGTATTTAGRACCTTTTTATTGCTTAGTGAACAACATTAAGTGTAAAAATATAAGTTAAATACAAAATTAATTTATATGTCTAAATTTGGCAAATGTTCAGGACAGTAGTAAAACTCAAAATTGTTTGACTTTGTGCCTGGTCACCGTATTAGATGAGCTGTCATATTGCTGTCAGGAAAAGGTCACAAAACAACACTGAAATCATATTTCATACAACTGTAGGAGGAATCCCAAATTCAGCAATAARCAAAGATGAAAAGGAAGGCAGCACAATAAGGGCAAGAAAAGATGCTTAAGTTTCCTGCAGTTCCTGCCTCATTGTTGATTCCAGCTTCCTGTTTTTTCAGCCTGCTTCTCAAGCCTTTCTTGTGCATATACACAGATTGTAGCATGCACAAGACTAAGAATAAGCTGAAGGCAGAAACTGACTTAATGAAGACATTCTTGTGAGAGAGAAAAGATTTTGTTGTCCACAGATGCGCAAAGAAAAACAGAAGAGCAGCTGCCCTTAGAAACAGAGCAAAAGTAGAGCTGAGTGCCACGTCATGATGCTTCAGTCAAAACCTGATGTGTTGAAAGCCTTTGAGAGATTCTGTGAGTCTCATGTTTTGGACACTGTCCTGAGCAGTGCTTGAYTCTCTGCCAATTTTCAGATGGTAGATAAGGATAAAAGGAAATGGCTTTCAACTGCTCTGTTATGGATGACACTATTAATCATCACTTTTCTGTCAAAAACTTCCCTTATAATCAAGTTATAGAGGTATAGTCATGTGCTGTCATCTTCTAGAGGCAGATTCTGAAGGACAGAGGTCCTCAGCTCACTAGTTCCCATCTCTCCTCTGTGAGAAATGAGTTTGTCTTTTCTGAAAGCCTTTGAGGGCAGGGACAGCRTAAATGTGGTGCAAAAAATTGTGTGGCAAGTGGGTGGGTAAATGAGGGGGGAGCTGAGACACAGCAAATAAGGCTTCTGGTCACTTGGCCTGCAGAGTTAAAGAACTAGGGATGTTGGTTAGAAAAAATTATTAAATTCATGGAATATCTGCACTGCACTCACAAGTCTCTGAGCACTGGCATCTGGGTGAATTGGGCTGGCTTATTCTACTCCTTGTGCTATTTGTTTATCAGCTGAAGCATTTATGAGAGCAAATGCAGCTGGTGGCATTTGGGCTCTGGAAATTACAATTTGTAATACTCTTCTAACAGTAATTTGAGAGTTTGAAGAATTCTGTAACTAATATTTCAGTCATGCACTGAAAATCTTCAAGTTTTAGGATTTTTTTTTTTTTTTTGCACTACCATGATCAAATACCCACAAATAATACAGGATTTCTCTGAATCACTAACCATGGCTGCAGCAGCATACCTGGTGAAATAGATCAGTGGTCCAGTCTGCTTTGACAACTCCTATGTAACCAAATATAGGAGAAATAGAAGAGAAAATTCRTTGGGCTGGTAGTGGCTTGTATTTTTCAATAATTTATCAAGATTCGAGAGCACAGATTTCCTTTGGGAAATATTAGTTCTAAGGTTTACAAAGTGCCTCAGTTGTAAATACCCATAAAAATGACAATTTGGTAGGTCGTATTTATTCTTAAGCGGGTCAAAGGACATTAGCGTATTCCTACTGTATAAATCTGTCAAGTACAGAATTTCTTTATGCTCCCAAATCACAAAAGCACCTCTTACAGTCAAGGAGAAAGCGTCACATTATTGCCAATCAAGGACAACAAGCAAGAATATCGATCTCTACCCAATAACTTTTGCCCTGCTCACTAAGTTTTTATTACTGAAACTGGACACATCAAGGGATTGGATTTAATATGTACATATAGTGCTGATTTATTACAGGAGGAGAAATACGGTCTGGCCTTACTTCTGGCTCAATATTTTAATACTTTTTTTTTTCCTTGCATGGAAGCTTTTTCTACAGRCAAAGTGTAAAATTTTCAGCTGGCTCTGGATGTGCACAAATCTTCAGCTCATAATGACTTATGGGTGTACCAGCATCTTGCCTTTGGTGGTCTTACAGTCTTGATTTTTGGGGTTTATGTATGTGAAAGTCTGTGGAGTGGGGTTGTTTTTTCAGAGGGACAGAGCTAAAGAGAAGCTTGGGGAGAGAGGTGGGAGGATGAAGGGCGTGGAAGGTCTGGGTGCTGCCTGCTGAGCCTGCTGGGAAGATGTGTTGGCTTTTCTGTGGAGCTGTGCATGTAAAGGCTTTTTTGTAAGGGCTGTTTAGCAGTCACAGATACTGGAATGCAGCARAGGACCTGCATCATCCCTCTTGGTCTCCTGTTGGTGAAACTTCACATTTTGTGGTCATTTTTGGTTGATCACTGCAGAGGATTTGGCCTGTTCCACAAACACAACATCTTTGAATTCTATATGCAGTGATAATCATGGCTTATGGCAGAGGTGGGATCAATCAGCTGCTTTTTAGAAAGGAAGGGCATCTAGAGAACTGAAAGGAGAGTTCTTACCACAGAATGACAGAACAGTGGGCACTGGAAGGAGCATCTAGTCTGACTTACCAGCTCAAAGCATGGTCAGAGAACAGGTTGCTCAGGGTCTTGTCCAGACAGGTTTGGAATGCAAGGATGGTGTTTCCACAACCCCTGTGGGTAACCTGTTCCAGTATTTCAGTGGTCAAAGATAAGCTGCTGTGTTAAAAATACAGGCCATGTAAGTCAGCAGGACTGRATATCTGCTTATTTTGCATCCTATAGAGCAGCCAGCTCCCTGATACTGTGTAATTATAAGCTCTGCTGGCTTTTTACCTGTCTAGGCAAAAGATGTGAGTTTTGTTTGCTCTTTGGCCTTGCAAGAGCTGGTCAGCCCTTCCACAGAATAAATGGATGCAGGAGTAGCTGATGGATTTGCTGCTCATGTTCATAATGCTGTGGAGAGAGCTGGAGAGGCCATACCCCACTCTCCATCATTTCCTGATGGAGCAGGCAGAGAAACACGTGCTGAATTTCTCCAGATACATCCTTCCCATGCCAGACACTTTGTCAAGAGGTTATGTRAAAGGATTCAGTGTTTGTCAGGGTTTCCAGGTGTCAGGAATTGGTACACGAGCAAATCCTTCCCACTGGGAATGCAGAGCAAAGCTGACGCTGCCTGGAAGTGCCCCCTGCACGTGGTGTGCACGCTCACACTGACTCTGATGTGGCTTGGGGTCCTGTGTGTGCCCTCCTGTGGATTTCCACAAGCACAACAAATTGGATGTGACCCAGGACATTTTGGATTAACCCTGCGTGCTCGGACCATCTGTGCAGYACATGTACCACTGGGCTGCTGGTGCATCAGGGCTGGACACAGTGCAGCTTGTGCTGATGCATTTCAGTGTGGAAGAGTTCAGAACAGGATCATGGCACAATCACAAATCAGGCTTTGAACTGGGAACCTCTAGGAAGAATTCTGCCATAGGAAAAAGCTGATTTTTCTGGTTCTTCAGCCTCCTGACTTGCTAATTGTGTAGTAAGCTTTAC